ACGCACACCAGGGGCTGAATTTGAAATCTTTGAATTCTATGTGGACGGGGAACATAAATTCAAAATCTCAGCCTTTTAGCTTTTCTGGTTCCCAAGTTAGCGTCCTTCTCGCCAAAACTTTCACCCTCATACGCGGAGCCCAGGCTTGCGTGAGAGTCGGTACTGCGGTCCTGGAGTGGCACTAGGTCGGGGGCTCACTGGCAAAATTTTGGCGTCGGAGCTTGCTTGGGTGCCGAGTTGAAATACCCGGACAGATGCACTCACACATACACATAGATACATACACAAAGGGGTCGTCAACAGTATGCGTTTTTGCATTTGCATATAAGCAAAAGTACATGACCAGCTAAAAGAGTACCAACTGCTGTCATGTTCGACACATCAGTGCGACTTTGTTATTGTGACAGCTCGGAACGTTATTTATCAGTTTCCACTAGTGAAAGCAGATAAGTTTGATAAAAGCCTCAACTCATTTTAACTTAACGTGATAAAAACACACCCCACACATCAAATATTAATAGAGTGGGGAATCACAAAGTTATAACCATCATATCAGGCATGTAGGACAACACATGGATAACGTGGTTATTGAATTGCGGTACCCAGACAATTTCAGCCGCACAATGGAAGGCTCTCAGAGAGCAAAACAGCTCAGAGTGAACGTAGTTTTGGATTAAAATGGACACGATAAGTTCAAAACAGAGAAGAATGTAGAAGTTATGGACTGCATTGGATGTGAGAAACATGATGTTGTGGCAGCAGCTGACTTAAAAATATCAAGTTATTAGTTGTCTATATAACAAGTTTTAAATTTGCTGCTATATGTTATTTACGCTGGAACAATATTTTGTCAGCTTTCAGCATCGTGATATTCAGTTAGGAACGCCAGACAGTTAGTTTCACCAACAGCATGCAAGCAGTATAATCTGGTGGTTGTGACGTATGAGAAATCGCCAGGAGCGCAAATGACGCTAAAAAGACCGCCGATCGAATGTTCTGCATAGTCCATTATCCTGAGTTTCATCTCATGATAATCACCAAACATGTTCTGAAAATCCCTTTGTCTTTTCAGACTAGCTGACCGGTTGCTTGGATCAAATGTGACTCATAGCCTGGTTCTCAACTG